AGGTATGTTTTGTTCTGTGTATGAATTCCGATAAAATGTCGGATAAAATGTCCTTGAATTTCCGATAAAATGTCCTTGAATTTCCGATAAAATGTCCTTGGAAAAAATTTCAGTCCTTCTGTATGAACCATGACGAGTGACTCGTATCTTCATGTGTGTCAAGATTAATGTTGTGAATGATATTGTTTTTGACAGCGGACCCAGTGCATATACTGATTTATTTATCCCAGAGGTTGGATAGAGGTAAAGTTAATCCTCAACACCAAAAAATTTATTTGTTAGAGATATTTATTTAAAAAACAAGGTGGTGGTGTTTGCTCAGTGCTGGTGTATAACTGCTAGTCACACCAGAGCTAAATATCTAGTGCTGTATAAAATGTTAGGTGCAAGCATGTAGCATTGTGTAGTGGGGGACCGCAAATACATTGTCCTGTTTCCGTATTTATATTTTCCTTACACATTTTTCAGTGTAGACGTGAATTCTTTGACAATCTTGTAATTAAAGACGCACAATGCTGCTCATCATATATGCATGTAAGACGAGGTTATGGGTTCATTCACGGCACATGAGATAATAACTTGTAATTTATAGAACGCGTACGTCTTTTAAAACTAATCACAAACGAAAATGCTAGGTTTGAAAATAGAAACAAATAGATTGATGACAATTTCTGTTGCTTGAATCGCTACAGCTTTATTCATTGAAACGCGCGTGGACAAGACTGAAAAATGTTGCGGTAAAATTAAGTACGTTTGCGTCAAACGCAAATATTCATCCTGATGATGATAGATTATACAAGATGACAAAAACGTGTTTAGTAGTGTGAGGGTGAATGTGAAAAAGCAGGTGAAGCTACCCTTACTTGTTCTGTTGTGAGGGTAGTAGCCTTACGAGCGCATTGCTGTAGAATGTGTCTAAATAATAAAAATGATGAGATACATAAATTGGAACTAATTTCTCCAGTTTTTCCTAACCCACCAACTAAACAGTTTGTGTAAAAATGTTTTTGTAAGATATTTGTACATGGCACTGCTGATGTAGATTGAGTATATATATATATATACTCAATTACTCATACGTATACAGACACATATACACAACACAATACACATGCATAGACGTGTGTACAGCTCTTCGTTGGCTCAATGACATAGCAGCACCATCTATCGGCCGTAATAGCAATAAACGTGATGCGCACAAACGAAATACAATGGCTCCGATGTTCTTAGCTTAACTTGTGCGTTCTATGTACACAGGAATGTTTGCTCGCAGCTGGCAATACGCAGCAATGCAGCCACACACGGACACACGCCGCACACGTACCTACACACACGCAGCGATGGTTACTAATGACTATTTAACAACCGGGTGCACGCTGCATGCACAGCACCGACACAATCAATATTTTTGCTTAGATGCCGAGGCGCCGAGATATGCAAGTTTCACTTCGAGCCGTTACAAGTCCTAAGGACTTGAATTCTTTTTATCAGCTGCTGACTTGTTTAATTTGAGCTTAATGTGTCTTTTATAGCTTCACGCTACAGCAAGCCTCTTCATCCTCAGCGAAGACAAAATTTTATTTCCGATTAAAATAAGACGGTGGGGGGAGGGGGGGGGCGATCTTCACATTCAATTCAGCAGTGAAAAAACGTTTTAGAAAAATGCGTCGGACATTGTTCAGTGTAGTAGAAAACATGGTCAGCATCAATCATCGTTTATTAATTAATCGCTCGTTAACACGGGGGAAAAGTCACAATGCATTCTTCCTGAATCACACTGATGACAACTCACCTGGAACCAATTTTTTTTTAAAAGGCTATGAAAAAATTGTCGTTATGCACAAAGAAACATGGCTGCTCGGTTCACTACTTACCGTGACAAACCTTCCCAACACTAGCTCATCTCATTTGCCACCAGGAGGCGCTCATAGCTACACCGTCAGCAACGCAGCCGCTAGCTGAACTTACTGCGAAACTCGTCAGCGACGATCTCACCACCAGGTGGCGCTCTTGTCATGGCCACCCACAGAACTCACGGCTAAAATTGCCGACACAGCAACTCCTCGCTAGATGGCGCTCATCACGGCGACCAAGCGGCAAAACGCCCACCAGGTGGCGCACATCACGGGCGGCGGAACATCCACCAGCTGGCGCACATCACGGGCGGCGGAACGCCCGCCAGGTGGCGTGCATCACAGGCGGCAGAACGCCCACCAGGTGGCGTGCATCACGGGCGGCGGAACTTGCTGCGTATTGTTCCCAGCACCTCGCGCAGACGACCGAATGTCCCCGTCGCTCCCGGAAGATTCTCATGAGGCAGGTGCTCCGAGATGCCGCGTGCAAACTCCGTCGCCGTCGGCAACCGCGCGGCGGGCGAGTGCCTCACCGCCGGCGTGCCCAGCTCCACGGCGATCGAGCGCGAGCTGACGGGGGTGACCGGTGGCTCCCCCGCGCGGCCGTCGTCCGACTCTCCCTCGTCGAGGCTCGTGACGATCCAGTCGGACGACGCGTCGCCGTCGTCGCCGCTGCCGACGACGGAGCTGGCTTCCTCCGCTAGCTGTCGCAGCAGCAGCATCCGCTGCTCCTCCAGTCCCTCCAGGTCCGGCGCCGGACTCGCGGGCGTGCTGCCGCCGGCGCCCCCTGTAGGGGTGCCCGGCCCCGTCGACGGTAGACTGGAGGCGGGCGTGCTCTTGCCGCTCCTGGTGGCGCCCCCTGGGCTGCGCGGTCTCGCGGAGGGAGGGAGAGGGTGAGTGAAGCTGTGAACCGAGATCGCAGGGTCGTCCGACTCTGCAACAATGCGGGGCGAGGGGGAGCTGTTAGAATAGTAATCTGTTACACAGAGCGAGAGAGAGAGAGAGAG